AAAAATGTATAATTGATATTGTGTAATAGGAAGTAAAGGTCTAAAGAGCAGGGGAAGTGGGAGGGGTAGGGGAAAGGAAAGAAGAGAAAAGAAAAAATATGAGAAAAGGAAAAAAATGGAAACAAAGTCTTTGCACATCAGGAAGGGTGGAGGGGTTGAAGGGAAGGTAGGGAAATGGGGAAAAAATAAAAACCAAGATACTCATGTAATGGTACAAGATCCCAATGATGTATGTAACTGTATTTTATACCTAAAATGTATGAATAAACTTAATGAGGAAAAAAATAGACAAAAGATTTAGACATTTCTTCAAAGACAGTATATAAATGGCCAATAAGGATAAGAAAATATTCTCAATATCGTTAGTCACTGGGGAAATGCAAATCAAAACCACAATAAAAGAGCACTTCACAACCATTCAGATGGCTATTATTTAAAAGGAACTGAATAACAAGTAATGGTGAAAATGTGGACAAGTTGAAATGCTTATACATTACTAAAAGTAATGTTTCCTATTGTGGAAAACAGCATGGCAGTTCTTTGAAGGGTTAAAAATAGAATTATGGTATGATCCAGCAATTCCATTTCTGAGTCTAAGCACAAAAGAATTGGATGCAGAGACTCAAACAGGTATTTATACACTCATATTCCTAGCAGCGTACACCTCACTATAGCCAAAGATAGAAATAACCCAAACACCCATCAGTGAATGAATGAATAAATAACAAAAAACAAAAAAAAGAAACAAACAAAACAAACATCAATCAATGAATGAATGAATAGAGAAAGTAATTAACAAAATGTGGTAGGTATATACCATGGAATATTATTCAGTCTTAAAAAGGAATGAAATTCTGATGCATGCTAAGATAGCCTTAGCATAGATAAGCCTTAAAACAAAATCCTAAGTAAATTAATCCAGTAACACATGGGCAAATACTGTATGATTTCACTAACATAAGGTACTCAGAGTAGGCAAATTCGTAGAGATAGAAAGTATAATCCTGCTTACCAGAGCTGGAGGCAGTAGGTAGGAGATAAGAAATCATTGTTTAATAAGTACAGAGTTTCTGTCTCAGATCATGAAAAAGTTCTGTACATGGATAGTAGTAATGACTGTGCAACACCACAAGTGTGCTTAATTGCCATTAAATTGAACACTTAAAATAGCCAAAATGGGTAATTTTATAA